AGCGGGGGGGGGGGGGGGTAACAACCCATCAAATATCATATAATGGATTGAGGCTAAAAGGCTTTGTAATCAGTCAGAGCCCATTTACAAAACACTCCAAATTGTCCTTAACGCACGCATGTCTCTAAACACCAAAAACCCATCAAATTCACAAAGCGTGGAGTAAACCAGGAGACAATTGTTTGTGTGTGCGTGTGTGTGTGTACATATATATATATATATATCCATTCACACTCTCAACGCTCAAGCTTCAGATGTTTTTACACGCACACATGCCTTACCATCGGCGCTGTTTGACTTCAATCTCTTCTCTTCTTCTTCTTCTCTTCTTTCTCCGCCGCGTTCTTCAACTGCACCACATATATTATTAACCAGAAAAGGTTATTGGAAGATTGTTAATTGATGGCCAAACCAAAACGACACTGTAATGTTGAGCTCACCATGATGATGAGAATTCGGACAAAGACTGCAACGAAGTCAGTGAAGAGAGTAAGAGCATGTTTCACATAGTCCATGTCTCCAAGGTGAGCCTTCTCAATTATCTCCTGGGTGTCCACCACCATGTATCCCACAAACACCAGCAGCCCAAAGTACAGCTGAACAAAAGATGTTTGAAACACAACAGTTTTAGACACTATCACTAAAAATGACATCTTTCTTCTACAAAAGGGTGGCTTTCCCTTTCCCAATCACTGGGTCGACAAGCAAATTACCTCAAACTTAAATACTGCCGCTGAGCCGCCAAAGATGGAAGACGCAAACTGGAGCCACAAAAGCATGGAGACACCTGATGAAAGCAACCCTCCAAGGTAAAGATACTCTCTGCGTCTTGCCAACATAGCTGCAGCCGAGAAACACACAAAAGCCACAGCAGTTCCCACGAATGCAGTGATCAGAATTCTGAAACATTGAAACAACCATACAACCGTCATCAGCTTGCATATAAACGCATTAGAATTGGCCCAAAAGCTTCTCCATTCATAGGCATGATTATGAACACCATAGATATTCGGAACAAAAGACAACCTTGGATCAATGTCAATGCCCAACTTGATCACTGGACCAATGGAAGCACCTTCAAGAACTGCTGACAACAAGAGAAGAGAAATCCTCTTTTTCTGCATCAAACGAGTCAGAGGAGTCAATATTATCATAAAATTAGTAAGGATTCATGCTCAAGGCGATAGGAATAACCAATGAAAGGCCATACTTCTTCATATGGAGGAGAGGAGAGCAACCAAATCATGCTTCCAACGAAACCAAATGTAGTGAGGAGACCACCGATATTCCAAAGAACGTGAAGATAAGCTCCAAAAGCGGATGCAACCAAAGCACAGCACAAGGTGAGATAGACCTACAATTTAGAAAACAAAAACTGTGAAAATTTGAACACGAACCATAACAGATCACTGCATAGGAAAAAGAAAGAACAGCCTATCGATCGGGGAAGACCATAACCCCCTTTGTTTTCAATAACCTTGAGTCACAGCGGATAGCTTCTTCCTCTTTGGATTTCATTCCCCAAACGATGAAACACTAAAATAGAACCCCCAGAAATTTATAAAGTTATACAGGACATGCCAGCACATAATTCACATCCCCTCGTTCAGTTACAAGGCAACGAAAACCTAACCCTAGGAATCGAGATGGGATCGAAACAATCAGAGATATCGAGACCCCAAAACGCAATAGACCTATAAACATAACCCCACCCATACGATAGGAAATATAGAAGTGACCTAAAGAATTCCCGATCGCCATTTTCTCTACAACAAGCCTAGCTTTTCCGCGAGACACGAGAATCGGCGGCAGAAAAAAAAACTTACACGCTTAAGATGAGTCTGAACGACAGGAGAAATCTGACGGAAGTTCTTGAGAGAATCATAGCTCCAGCGGTTAGTGGGTCGAGAGCCGAAGAAGGATGAGAAAGCGTCCATGGTTGTTTGGGTAGAGAGAAAATGGAAAGGGAAACGCCGAGAAAATGTTTCGATTAAAACGCAGTTACGGGGAGAGGACGCCTCGTAGTTTTTAAGGGGGGGCAAGGGACGAGAAGAAAATTCCCGTGACGTATCGAATGCAACAAGTTTACAATATTGCCCTCACTCGCTTTGATAATTAACTAATGTATCCTAAACGAAACGACTAGTTCCTGAATCAGAAAGATCGATAAAGGGTACTTCTGGAAAGTTCATAAAAATTTAGAATTGTCCGCGTAGTTGACTTCTCTGCCTTGGCCGCTAAGCATTAGAAATATCTCATCACGTCATCTGACCAATTATAGACTTCCACGTGTAGTAAAATTCTTATTCCTCTTTTTCCCATTGGCCCAATACTATGGGCCTGATTCCAAAGTATCAATGGGCTTTGGCCCAATGCTCTCGCCTTTGGATAAGTGCGAAAAGGCATAATTATTTATAAAAAATTTATTGGGCCCATATTTCGGGGGATTGAACCCGACGTGAATCGAACACGCAACCTTCTGATCTGGAGTCAGACGCGCTACCATTGCGCCACGGATCCCATGTAAGATGCGTAGAAATTAAATAATAATATTAATTACATAAAAAAATTTGATATTTGTTGATTCTCTGTCCACGCGAAGCCGACACGTCTTGTGACCTTGTCTTATTTTCTGGGGTCATTACCCTTTTTTTTAGCCAATTAATTTCAAGCTTTGATCAATTGATCATAATTTATTCAAAAAGAAAATTCATCCTTTTGCTGCCCTCAAAAGGCCTTCGATTCCGGCGTGCATTCATTTGAATATACTTCTAAATCTCAATTCATTCGTCCGTTGTCCACAAAGCCTCTGCTTCCGGTGTGTATTCATTTGAATATACATATCTCATATTGTTTACCAAAAAAAAAAAGATGTCGGCAAGTGAAAAGTGTCATTCTATATTTCATATGAATAAAAAACTCAAAACCATATTTATAAAAACAAACGTGGGTATATTTGAACAGAACATAAAAAGTTTCTAAAAATCGTAATATTTATCTACAAAATTTTATTTTTTATTTATTTTTAAAAATAATACGCGGTCGAAAAGTTGAATGATTTAACCATTATTATGAATGGTAACAGCGTAGCTCCTACGGACGTTAATCACGTGGTCTAGTCTTAATTAAGGTCCTAATATGTCAACGTTTACGGATAACGGACCGATTCACGTTCGTACCCTATTCACGTTTGTTTTTATCACATATTTAAATTATAAATATTCGTCTTCACTTCGCCTTGAAATTTCCACACGTATTATAAGTATTTGAATTCAAGTTAATACGACGGCACGTGCGACTTTCATCTTATAAACTCTGTTCCCAATTGGCCCTTTGCAGTCCAAAACCCTAAATCGGTGTGGTGGATCTCATCCTTCGCTAATCTCCTATCTCTTCCCTTCTCTCCATCGCTCTGTTTCTCCTTCTCTCCCCCCCAAGGTGAGTGCCGGTTTCGTTTTCAGGAATTCTCTTTTATGATTTCCTTTGTGCAATCGATTTCCGTCTTTGGGGATTCTCTCACCGTACCTGCATTACCTGTTTGATCACTTTTTTTTTCATATTCTTTTTTTTTCTGGGATTAATTTGATTTAATTGCATTGTATCTTGTTACAGCTTTGATTGTTACTATTTTTCGCCCGAAAGTCTTGATAAAATTTGATTTTTTTTTTTTTGCTGGGGTTCAGAGTTTGTAACTTTGTTTTATAACAATCTGTCATTGTCTGCTTGGCTGGTTACCGAGAAAATTATATTAGAGTCAAGCTCGAGGGAAAGGAAAAGGGAAATTCTAGTTGTGGATTTTGTTTTTGGTGATTCCTGGAATTCTGATTTTCGCTGTTGTAATTTGGAAATTATCTGTTTCTCATCCGGCCAAGTTAATTTGATGGGTTATGTTTCTATTCCCTGGAATATGTGCAGATTCAAAGATTGTTATGGCGATTGGTAGTAATAGCAGTAATCGAGCTTAGTAGCATCTCATAAACCCTAGAAGTAGCGGTTCAATTATCCGCTATCTTCTTCTTCGTCTCGGGTTTCCTGACCTTCCCTCATCCGTTAAATGGGTTGCTTCCATTCCAAGACAGCAAGAGAATTTCCCGGACACGAAGACCCCGTAAAGCTAGCCTCCGAGACAGCTTGTAAGTTTATGTCTTTTGTTTTGGCGATGATTTTCTTAATCTTTCAGTGTCAACCATTTCTCTGCCTTTCTGTTAGTATTAGTTTAGTCGGAGCATGGTCCAACTAGGTTAAATTTGGGTTCTTTACAGGGTTCTTTTACCAGATTTTCTCGGTTCAACGATGTATTACAATTTAATCCATCTTCTATCTAGGATGATATTCGGTCTGAATATTCTCAAAAGGGTCTTTTACATAGTTTACCTCCAACTGCAAAAATGTTTTCAAAATTAATTAATCTTTCATTTTGAGGGCCTTTTTTATTGACATGGTTAGTCTTCTGCTGATATGAGAGTCCTCAAATCATTTTAGCCTTTCCTCGGTTCGTCAGTCTAGCTCACAAAACATTCTGAAATTTCATCCTTAGTTTAATCTTGACCTGAAAATTCTCAAAAGGGCCTGTTTTATATAGCCTATCTCAGTGCGGAAGATGTTCAAAAGTTAATTGATCGACAGTTCCCAATGATGTTTTGTTTGATGGTTCTGTGTCGCTTGTTTTTTCTGTTTTCCAGTTAGTGTGAGTGAGGTTGAAGCACTGTTTGAGCTGTTCAAGAGCATAAGCAGTTCGGTTGTTGATGATGGCTTGATAAGCAAGGTACATATATTGATAATCTGGGCGCTTTCACACATCATCGGATCTCGAATGCATAATGTACAGCATATTAATCGTTGCAATATTCGTTTTCTTTTACATTATCCATGTATATGTCATCTCCGTTGACTTGCTCCAATTGATTGCACTAATAATTGAACTTCTGTGCCTATCTGGCTGTTCCATGTCCACCGAATTCAATGCATCTTAATCCTTTCTATCTAACTTGAATCTAACTCTTAATTGGTTTGACTTTGAAATTTTATGGTTTTATGGCCCACCTTCTGATCTCGGAGTCTCCCCCCCCCCCCGGAATAAAATACTGACATTAATGTTTTTTTGATGGAGAGAGAATAAAAAAGAAATGGTGTGGAAAGTCGCGGGCCCACAACTCCCTTCGGTCCAAATGCTGGGCCCCACATCTCATCGTTCGGTCCGATTGTAATATATACACGTACACTGTTCACCCAACAACACGATATAGAACGCATCTGGACGGATTCCAATCTCTCTCTCAGTGGTGTAGTAATGCACTGAAGAAGGTTAAACGGGGGGGGGGGGGGGGGGGCAC